TGTCTAACATTGATCGCCAAGCGCTCATACCGCCAAAAAATATTATGTAAAACCCTTCCTGTCGTAGAGACCCTTGGGTGTGTCTCTATTATTTGCTCGGTAAATATAATTTACTTTTTTTTCTATTTTTACCTTTAAACTTATTAATAACCAATATTATATATACTGATGCTAGGATAAAACTGGTACATTAACAGAGAACAAAATGTTTATTAATAACGTGAGTTTTGTCACCAAGGAGATGAAACCCCAGGAATGCAAAGATATATTGAGAACTGACCATCCGGAAAAAAAGGCAGTTAGAACTCTACAATTAGCTGCTGGTTTATGTAATGCTGCGACATTTGACGCTGCCTCAATGACACTCCCAGTATATGAAAGAGTTATAAATGGAGATGCTACGGATTCTAGTCTACTCCGTTTCGCCGAAGATTTGAGAGGTATGTTACTTAAATTGAAAAGGCAGAGAGAGAGAGAAGCATTTCTTCAAAATTTACTACAAAATGTTAACGTTAAAATTTTAAAATTTAAATAAAAGAATCAACTGCGGCTGATCGCCTCGAGTTTAAAACAATCTTTCAGGTTCCATTTAATTCTAAAAATAAATATGTAATTACCATTCACTCCAGCAACGGAAATGTCGACAACGTTCTAGGAACATCAGAACTTATATATTTTTGCAAAGGTGCTCCTGAAGTTTTGTTGGAAAGATGTTCTTTTTATCTTCATCCAGATGGTAGTGAAAAGCCGCTTGATCATGAAAGTAGAAATCTATTTGAGGTTATTCAGGATTCATGGTCAAGGAAGGGTCAGCGTGTACTTTTGTTATCCAAAAGAATTATTCCATCACACATATTCCCTGGGAATACTAAAAATGATGTCGAAATGACAGATTTAGCCTTATCATTTAATAAGGATTTATGTATTATTGGTTTGGTGGGAATTATCGGTGAGAATTTTTTTTTTCTTGCATAAATATAGAAATCTCTTAATTTTAATATAAATCGTCATCAAATATTAGATCCGCCTCGTGCAGAAATTCCTGAAGTTGTCAAAAAATGTCGTAAGGCAGGAGTCAGAGTTTTCATGGTTACAGGTGATTATGCCTTGACGGCGGAAACAATAGCCAGGCAGTGTGGCATTCTAACCACTGATAAAGTGGATGACATTAATAATATCATTAAAAAGGAAGACATTGGTGAGACGTCTACGTTTCTTCGAAATTTAGATTCTGAAGAGGATGATTATCAATTGAATGTCAATTCACTTAGTTTAACCGGAAAAGACCTTTTCAATGCAAATTTGACTTCTAAACACTGGGACGCCATTGCAAATTATTCGGAAATAGTTTTTTCTAGAACGACACCAGAACAAAAATTGAAAATTGTAAGTATTTTTTCTTTTAAAAGTTTATATACAAACATTGTTATAACGAAAGATTTTAGGTAACTGAACTTCAAAGTCGAGGCAATGTCGTGGGAGTGACCGGTGATGGAGTGAACGATGCACCAGCATTAAAACAAGCGAATATTGGAATTGCTATGGGTCTGGGATCTGATTTGGCTATAGCAGCAGGAAATATGGTTTTACTGGATAACAATTTTGCATCAGTCATCGTGGCTATGGAAAATGGTCGACTTGTGTTTGATAATTTGAAGAAAGTTATATTGTATCTTTTGCCAGCTGGATCTTGGTCTGAAATGTGGCCTGTTTTAGCAAATGTCTTGCTTGGAATTCCACTTCCACTATCACCTTTCCTCATGATTGTCGTTTGCTGCATGTACGTACGCGTGTGTACTTTTTACCTAAAAGTAAATCCAATCATTCACATCACCTTTATTTAAAAAGAACCGACATATTCCCATCGCTATCCCTTACGCATGAAAAACCCGAATCGGACCTTATGTCACGAAAGCCACGCAAAGTAACTAGAGACCATCTTGTAGATGCCAAATTACTTTTGCAAGCTTATGGGTTTATTGGTATGACGGAAATGCTCCTTGCGCATTGGATGTTTTTTACGTATTTATCCTTTTATGGTGGTATATCTTTTAGAGATACAGTACTAGGTAAATTATAGTTAGAATATCATGATCTGAAAATTGGTTGTTCACGTTTGCTAAATTCTTTGATCATAACTATAATGCAGCATTTAACAAATGGGGAGATGGATTTATGGGAAAGACGATGGACGAACTTAACGAACTCAATGTATGATACGATTTCAATATGATACATTCACTCAATCCTCATAAGAAATTTACCTTTGTTTTTAATTAGTACACGGGTCAAAGTATATACTTTGCAACATTGGTAATTACTCAATTTGGAAACCTCTTATCCATCCGAACACGACGCAGATCAATATTCCAATCAAATCCATTTTCAGGGCCAACGAAAAATTTATATTTATTTGGAGCAATGTTCATCTCCCTTATAACTATGTTGGTTATACTTTACGTACCCTTCTTCAATAATGTTTTTAATACAAGGTAAAATATAGCTTTTCTTTTCTATTCTACTTTGCATACAAGATTAAATTTTTTTCTTTACTTCTCATTTGATTAATTAATCCCAATCAGACCGATTCCAGTAAAATTTTATTTCATTCCTCTCGGATTTGCTGCATTTATTCTGATAATGGACGAGATAAGAAAGTTGCTCATAAGAACCTATCCAAAATCATTCTTGGATAAATTAGCTTGGTGAGGGAGCAAAAAAACGGTACTAATTTGTAAATATAAATATAAATATATGTTTAAGATAAATGATAAATAAGTTTCTGAATTAAATTCGCTTGCAAATAATGTTAGTCCCTATTTATATTTGGGTTCACGCCTTCGTTCACTTGCTAACTTCTTTTAACAGTCTTTCCCAAAAGTAAAGTTGATAATCACACCGTTCTATCAAAAAAAAAAAAAAATTCTGGTATAATAAATAAACCTAACGAAGAAAAATAAATAAATAACATTTTTAATTCTTCAAATATTAAGTTCAGTATCTAAATGCAATATATAAATACTTCTCGTTTTTTTTTCCAAAAGTTTTTACATGTATCTCTTTAACATGAAGTTTAGAATATGTGTTTTAGAAAATCAATTCCATTTTTTTAAGATCACAAGTCTTTGTTTGAACAATCTTCTTAATTATTATTCTAAATAAGGTATAATGGTCTGGGATTTCTTTTTTCAAAAGAAAATGTTCGAACGTACTTAAAAATGTTGTATCACTAAACTTAATAAATTCTTAAAGTATCTCATAGGTTTTACAGACTCGTAATTTAACTGTTAACAGGTTGTATTATATAGACTTCGAGTAAATAGTTTAAAGTGAAAATTGAAATTGTTTACTTAAAATAATTCAACATTTTCAACCATCTTCTGTCTAGGGTCGGGTTTAAGGCAGATTCGAACTCGAACCCGTTAATAATTACAGAACCCGAATTTTCAAGGGTAATATTAATGCCGAAAATCAAATAAAGTTTATTTTATTTTTAAAATTATTATTTTTTTTTTGTGAGCATTAATTCAAATTCCTTTTTTTTCACCAGAATTTCAAGCACATACAAGCAAATTGTATTAGCTTTAAGATCACATCTTTTGGCCGGTTCCGCCAGAAAAACTCGTTCTACTGGAACAATTGTTGATTTATAAAAAAATGTATAAGTTAATGTTTAATATTTTAACTGTTATTGTTGTAATGCTTTTCGTTTTCTAGAAAAGTTGTACTCCTAACTTTACTTTTTTATTATTTATTTGTTACAAATTAAAGTCGCATAACATAAAACAAAAAAAAGTCTAGCGCGTCACACGGGTCGACTCGGGTCAAGCGATAACGTGACCCTAACCCGGCGGGTTTTTTTGAATTAGAACTCTTGTCATAAAAATGATAGCCCCAACTCGAGAAAAAATTCGAGTCGGGTCAAACGATCAGGGTCGACTCGATCGTTTCGGAGCACTATTCTTGTCTTCATAAAGGTTTTGATGCTATCTACAAATGAATGGAATTTATAGTTAATTATATTAGAAATCTTCGGTAAATTGCAATATTAATTTAGTAATACGCGGTGGCAAAGGAAATAGAATGCTGAAAGGGTTACAAATTAAATTTGGTTAGTTTAGTTGCTAGATGAGGTTTATAGCAGCATATGCTTTTAATCTCAGATTCGGATCGCAGCGATCGAATATTTTCTTTTTTATTTCGCTTCGAGCTTTTTACAGTATGTGATAGGTGGATTTTTTTTTGATTAATTAATTATTATATATATATATATTTTTAAGTTCGATCTTCTGCGGGTAAGAATTTTATTTTTATTATTTTTTATTTATTTATTTATTTTCGGCAATAATATCTTTAGGGTCGAATCGCAATTATGTAGATTGCCCTTTAGGTTCCTCTTTCGGGTTGGTTCGCTTTCAAAAGTTTTAAACAGCGGGTAGCTGTTGGAAGTGGTCCGTTGAATTATGCATCAGGTAGAGTGTCCAGAAATCTGCTGCAAATTTGATTTGTTAAGTTATTAATACTTTATATTTATTTATATATTTATACTTTAAATTTTATTAATTAGAATTATAATATTAAAAAATTTAACATTACAGAAATCTAAATGTGGCTGATACTATAGATGTGGTCACTTGATCACGTGATTGTCTCGATGCATTTTTATATTTATCTTTTTTTAAGTGGTCCAAATCTTATTCATCACATGACATGCTATTTGTCATCGCTGCGTCACCTACATGGCACAGATTTCTGACATGTGTAAATGACGTAAATATTTTAATCATTATTAAATACTGTTATTGTTTCTGTTTGTTTGTTAAGATTTTTTTTTTAAACAATTGCGCAAGTTATTATGTAATACAACAATAATTAGCAAATCATATCGCCAATAGATTCTGCGGATTCTGCTAGCCTCAGGCTTTCTCTAGTTAACTACTTAAAATAACGTATTGTCAAAATCTTTAAATGACAGTTTCGGAATCGTATTTACCGCAGATTCCGTAGTTAGAAGTTCACTGCAGTACGGTAATTCTCTAAGAAATGACTTAATAAGCATTGTTTCATTTTAATCAATTAAACTGCATAATTGGGGAGATATTTATTCCATTTGTTCATATTTCTTTGTTTCTTTGTTTTTGTATTGTTTATTAAGGGGTCACTCATAGTCGTCCAAATAAATGATGATTTGCATGATAAACCAATCATATATCGTACATTAAAGATTTGTACCCCAATTCACGTGGTCGACATTTTTAGCTATAAAAGTTGCATGAAAAATCATTCTCTTCATTTGATCTAAATCTCACAAATATTTCTTAAACTTTAAAAACCTCGCTATCAATATCGTTATTTATAAATAAAAATTTTAATTCATTTGACTTTATGATTAACAAAAAAAGGACGACTACGAACTGAACAGAGAGAAACTTATTCAATATTATACTAGGAAGTTGGTCGATATGGATTATTCTAAAGACCTGATTAAGTCATTGAATAATGCAAAGAAATATAGTCAGTAAGTTATCATATATATATTTTTTTTCTTTTTCGTTTTTAAAAAAAAAAAATAATTTATTAATATAATAAATATTCTTGATCATAATTAGTTGGATTGAAAATCTAAACAATCCAGAAAACAAACACACGTCAACTTCCACCCCTCCCCCCGTGATTGATCGAATTTCTAATCAATCATTTGAAATTCCATTAACCTTATCACCGATCCTCGAACAAATTCACAAATTATAATCATTCGCTCCCATCGATAAGAACGCTTGGTATCATTATACTCCCCTCCTTGATAATTTCTCTGGCACTTACTTAGCGCGTCAGTCGAATAAGTACTTCCCAAATTCGAAATTTCCAACCATATTATCTTCCTGCCATCCATCTTATGATGGGATTTTATCAGGCATAGTTACTAGATTATTCATGTTTATTTTACTTATAATTTTTATATTTTTATATTATTTATTATTTTTTATTATTTTCATTATATTTTTTGTTATTTTCTTAAATAATAAATCTAGAATTAAGGATGTTGTTAATGACTTACAAAATCCTACGATTTATAAAATTCTTCAAACCTTTGTGATAATCAACTACACGCATTAATAAAATTGTCGTATAAATATTGGCTGCTAATTTGGTTTCAGTTGGTCGGTTAAAACAGTGTTGGGAAATTGGACAATTTTTGGACAATTTTGGACAGTTTTGAACAAGTTATGGACACATTTTTATATGTTGTCCAAAACCTTGTCCAAAATATTTAAAGTCAAAAAATGTGTCCAAAACCCAACACTGGTTTAAAAGCTTTCTGACTGACCGATTGACCGACCGATTTTGACCGATTTTAACCGACCTCGTGATTTTGTATTTAAAAAATAATAAATAAAATATAATTTAATAAATATTTTAAAAACAAATTAGTCCGGATGATGCTTTGCCAAGAAATAGTGAAAGGTACTTTCCTTTTTTTAAAATAAATACTTTATTTTTTATAAAAAATATTTTTAATTTATAATAAACTTTTATCACTTAATATCATAATGACTATTTACTAATAATAATTACCTTTTTTTTGCTCTACTTTTAAATATTACTAAAATAAATGAAAAACATATAATAAAATTTTATACATATATACTTATAAACTAAAAAATTTGTAATTTTTAAAAATTTTATCATTAACATTATACAATCTTATTAAAATTTTATTTTTAGCAATAATAATCAAAATAGGACATTATAAATTTATCATAAAAATAATTAAATTACAATTTTTATAATTTATTAAAAAATTTTATAACTTTTATTAGTAGTAAAGTGATCCAATTAGTTAGTAAACATATGAATCTTAAAGAAAATTTGAAAATTATTATAATAAATTTTTTGAAACTTAATTTTAATTAAATAAAATTAAAAAACTATATATTTAAAAATAATTTTTTATATAATTATTATATTATTTAATATTAAGAAAATTAATATTTTTTTTCAAGTTTATAAGCAAATTTGTTTGCTAAACAATTTAAGGAATAATATAAAAAGTAAATTATTTAAATAGAATATAATTTTAGTATTTCTGTAAGTAATTTTAAGTAAAGATTGATAAATATTAGAATAAGTAATCACTAATTAAAATCAAAAAAAAAATTTGTATATGCAATAAATCAGCTTAAAATTAGCCTAACATCAGAAAATCATTAAAAATCTGCTAAAATTCAGCTTAACTGATTGGAATACATTAAGAATTAGTTAAAAATTTGACCTATTTTATTTATAACTGATTGGTATACTTATAGCTAATTGGTATAAATTAAGAATCAGCTAAAATTTAACCTATTTTATTTATAGCTAAATGACATCCAATTGACATATATTGAAAATTAACTAAAATATATCAAAATAAATAAAATTCAAAAGGAAATATAACTAATATTATTTTTTATTATTTTAAATCTTATATTGACTTAATGTATAATAAAAGTATTATTTTTAATTTATCTTAAATTTATTTTAATTTAATGTATTAATAAAATATTTTTAATTTATTTTGAGTTTAACACATAAAAAATTGTTTTTGATTTACTTTAATTTTTATCATATTGATAAATTATTATAATTTACTTTAAATTTTATATTGATTTATTATATTATCTTATATATTTTTTGAGTTTATTTCTAGTATATATAAAAATATTTATATAAATAAACTTAATTTTTTTACTACTTAAAAATAAGTTTAACTCAAACTTTATCTCCTTATAATTAAATTTCATTTTTTTCAAATTTTTAAAATATCATCAAAAATTTGTTATAAAAACAAAAACAAAAAGAATGTAAAATAAATTTTCTTAATCAATTAGTCAATTTTTTAAATAATAAACTATTTTTACTTTTTTAAATAGAAATTCAAATCAAAAAATGCTTTGAAAATTAAAAAAAAAACTAAAATATAATTTTTTATAATATAAAAAATAAAAATAAATCAAATAAAATCATCTAAAAAGAGCTAAATATAGAAATAAATATCACAAAATTTAAAAATAATATAAAAATATTCAGTTCTTATTAAATTTAAATAAAATTAGCAATAAATATTTCAGTTATAGCTGTAGTTAAAATTTTTTTAATTCTGACAATTTAAAATTATATATTATATTGATCATTATTATTTTATAATAATTAATAATATATTTTCTTTATTTCTATATAAAAAATCTAAATTAAAAGAAAAATTTATAAAATATTATAAGAAAATTAAGAAATTAAAATAATAAAATTTTAATTTTTTAAATAAAAATAAAAGATTAAAAGAGGAAACTGATTTCTTACTAAAATTAACAAAGGATTTGATAAGAAAAATGTTAATTTATAGTTAAAATTTGATATAATAAATTTAGTATCAGAATGATCAGGTCTTCATTATAAAAAAATTAGTTATCACTATAATGAATAATTTATTATAATAAAATATTATCCAATTGAGTTAATCAAATTGATTTTTAATGATAAGTTAAAAATTTTTTTATTTTTATCTTATCTTTATTATTTAATTTAAAAAATTTCAATTTTATCATTATTTTTTTTTTATATTTTTTTTATATTTTTTTCTCTCTTTTTTTCTTTCTTCCTTTCTTTTTTTTTAATTTTATTATTTTTTTTTAATTTCTTTTTTCTTCTATTCTTTTTTTTAATTTTATTATTTTTTAATTTTTTTCCTTTCACTTTCCTCTCTTTCTTTCTTTTTAATTTTATTACTTTTTTTTATTTATTTATTCAGTTTTTCACTTTTTTCCTTTACATTAAAACTAGCAGAAATTGACAAACCTGTCAATTAGTATATCTGTTAGTTCTATTATTATTGTCAATAATATCATAACCACTATAGATTTTCTTTAATTATAATTTTCTTATATAAAGGGCATAAAAATGTCTTGAAAAAAGACAGATCTCAATATTGTATTGAATATATAAGCAGAATTATCAGATTAATTAGAACAGAAATTATAGAAATTATAAAAAAGAAAATTAGAAATTTACAGAAATAACAGAAAGAAAAATCTAGAAATTATAGAAATGATCTATATTAATTTTATATAAATAAGATAAAATTTTAATTAGTAAAAAATTAAAGAATTATTAAATGAAAAAAAATAAAATATACAATTTAACTGAAAATGTTAATTCTATTAATAACAATAAAATTAATCAAAAAAAGGTCTAATTAATAAAGTAATGAATTTACTAAACCTATAGAAGATTAAATAATAAAAAAAAAAGAATATATAAGAGAAAAACTAATAGATGATAATATTAAATAATAACAATTAGAAATGAAGAAATTAACAAATAATGAATTAAATACTAGATAGTCTGAAATAAATCAAATAAATTAAAGTTAAATTCTTAGACAAATAAAAATTAATTTGTAAAAATAAATCCTCTTGAAAATGATTAGCAGAAATAATTCAGGAAGATATAGCTCTTTTTAAAACTATTGAACTCAGGAAATATTAATAATTTGTATAAATAAAATTTTAGCAATTACTAGAATTCTGAATGAGTCAAGTCGAGTTGAGTTTAAAGGTCAACTCTATTTGACTCTCTTTTTTTGAGTTGAGTTGAGTTGAGTTTATTTTATAAAATCTTTTAACTTAACTTGATTCAAATTATATAAATTTAAACTTGACTCAATTTGATTTGACTTAGTTTAACTTGACTTGATTTTAACTTGAATTTATTTAAATCGAGTTAAGTTCAAATCAAATTTCAAGTCAAATTTAAATAACTTATAAATATTTAAATATAAAAAAATATTTATTTTTAAATTATATTTATTATATTGTAAGATTATATATTATTTATTTAAAGCAATATAATAAAAAATAAAATAAAATAGATTAAATTAAAATATAAAAAAAAATAAGATAAAATAAAATATAAAAAAAAATTTAAAACTAAATAAAATAAAAAGAAGAATCAAGGAGGGAGGAGGAAAGGAGAAGAGGAAAAGGGAAAAAAATTAAGTAAAAAATAAAAAATAAAAAAAAAATAAAAAAATAAATAAATAAAAAAAAAGGATTGAGGGAGGAAGGAAGAGGAGAGAAAGAAAAAAAATTAAGAAAACAAAAAAAAAAAATAAAAGAAAGAAAAAAAATTAAAGTAAAAAAATGAAAAAAAAATAACGAAAAAAAAATAAAAAAAAGGAGTAGGAGGGGGAAAGGAAGGAAAAAAAATTAAGTAAAAAAAAATAAAAATTAAAAATTAAAAAAAAAAATTTAAATCGATCAATAAATTGATCGATTTTAAAATAAACCAATTTGTTAATTCTTAAAAAGTACATAACTTTAGATTAATCCTTTTTTTTAGATGATTAATTATTTTTTTTTTAGAATTTCAGACTGCCACAATATCAGTTTGATAAAGGTATTATAGATTACTAATTATTTTTTTTTAGAATTTTAAGTTGTTATAATATCAGTAAAAGTGTTATACTAAAATAGAAAATCAATTTTTTCAAAAAATTTTATTTAAAGACTTTAATTCATAATTTATTTGAATAGAGTCCAAAGTAAAGATGGTATCTCAATTAATTGCAATAGATGACAAATAAGTATTATAATATTGCAATGAATTGCAATGTTATTAAAATTTAAGTTATAACAGGTGATAAATAAGTATCATAATATTACAACGTCATCTTTAGTCTAAAGTATAAGAATAATCTTTATATAGTTTTAGGA